AGAAATGGCTCATCCTGAGTGTGTGTGAACCTGTCCTGCAGGTCTCTTTATGGACTGGCGTTGGTTGGCGATCTGCTGCTCCATCCCACCGACGCTGCTGATGGTCTTTATGTCCTTCATGCCTGAAACGCCCCGCTTCCTGCTGTCACAGGGCAAGCGAAGGGAGGCTGTGGAGTCACTGCGCTTCTTACGTGGACCAGACGCTCCTGTCGAATGGGAGTGCGGCCGCATTGAGGAAGCATGTGATGAGCAGGTGATATAAGACAAGATTTTCTGGCCACGGTGCCTTTGCCCTCCTCAATTGTAATTCAACCACTGTGGGGAAAATGTTGGCAGTTTGGCTTGATGATTGACGTTATTCTGTTTTCCTCCTAGGGCTCTAAATTCCAGCTGTCTGACCTGAAGGATCCTGGTGTCTACAAGCCTCTGGTGATTGGCATCATGCTGATGATCTTCCAGCAGATGAGCGGGATCAACGCCATCATGTTCTATGCTGAGAATATATTTGAACAGGCACATTTTAAGGTAGCTCGTTCACAGGCGCTACTGCTCTTTCTATCACTCACTAAACAAAGCAGATGAAGGAGCAGAAGAGCAAGACTTCACAGGACAGTGCTGTCACCTTCTTATCAAAAATGGATTTGTCGCGTTGCACTTTTTCCAAAAAGGCCTTTTTGGGAAATAGGAGTAGGGCTAAAAACAAAAGTCACAAGTTAGAGTAACAAAATGCAAAACATTTCAGTGAACACACTAATAGAAAGCTCTCGCCTTGGAGGTGAAAATTGAATTCAACAGCAAAATTATCAATTTACAAGTTTTCAGTGAAAACATAAATTCATTATAGATCTGTCTTTCTTGTTATTCTGCAGCAAAGTGACCTGGCGTCAGTGATCGTGGGTCTCATTCAGGTCGTCTTTACTGCAGTAGCAGCGCTTATCATGGACAAGGCTGGAAGGAAAGTCCTTCTCATTATCTCAGGTAGCCAGAATCTTTAAATGTAATTATTAACCATAATTCCTGGGATCTCTCTGTGACACCTCCTTGATTGTAATTTCATAACACAGGTGTTGCCATGGCCATCAGCACCACAGCATTTGGAGTTTACTTCTACCTGATGTCCTTACTTCCAGAACCCCATGGTGACCTGGCCTGGATGGCTCTGGCCAGCATAGCGGTGTTCATCACAGGTCAGTTTTCCAGCATATAAAAATGGGTCAATCAGCTCCACTTCAAGATGCAAAAATGATTTAGTCCTCACACCTTTTCCTTACCTTATACTTAATACAAATAACTTTGGATATTTAATGGTTTTGGCTATTCCATCACAAATTCAGAGATAAATTTGTCAGTCATCTGCAAAACATTTAATTAGGGCTGTGCGATATGACCAAAATCTCATATCCTATATCCAAATATATCCTATATTTATCGTCCCAAACGACGATAATTATCACAAAAGTTTTACATTTTCTGTAAATTCTGTGAATCTCGGGCAACTTGCGTGAAGTGTTTTCAGCTGGGAGTGCTGTACCTGGAGTCGAGTGTTACATAAGTTGAAACGGCAGCAATTTTCACAATTTTGTGAGTATTTATTACACGGCATGCTGAGGGTAAAAGCCTGTCCTAAGGTTTATGTTTTTTAAGCACCTGATGGCTCTTTTTAGCTTCTCATCCGTAAACACTCCACATACTATTTCACCTGATTCAGTTTATTTTGAAAAATCTCAATACGATCTTCAGCTTTTTTGTGAAAGGTTTATGTGGAAAATAAACAAGCACCTCAAAGCACACTGTGCGCTGTCGATCTTACGTGCTGCACAATAATGTTTAATATTTAGTATTTACTGTCATATTCCCATATATCATCATGATGTTGTTTATTGTATTGCACTCGTTTTCTTCTGCTTGTTTCCTTTTTTCTTTCTCAACAGGTGATCCAGGTGATTGATATATGTATT